ATGTTCTAATCTGATGCATCAAATGTAATCATAAGAAATTTTGTAGGAGTGAGAAAAAGTAAGTTCTTACCTTGTTTCCCTCACAAACATGCCTGTTAAAATGGTTATATCTTCAACATATTTACATACGACCATCTTCAAATCATTAGGGCTGCACAAAAATAAATCACGAAACCCTCAAACCAAACCGAAGTCGTTGGTTTGGGTCCACATGGACCCGCGGTTTTTTTCTCAAACTGAACCAAACCATTTTAAAATTCTAGGTATCAAATTTTTAAAACCACAAAAAACTAAACCGAACCGCACTTTTTTTAATTAAAAAAATATTTTTATTCAATTATAAATTCTCAAACCAGATTTTATTTTTTATTTTTTTAGTAATATAAAACTTCTTAAACCAGATTTCTCAACCCAAATCATTTTAATTTTTTTTTCTTTTTCGATTATTGGGCTTTTGAATTCACCCCATCCGTCCAAATTCCAAACAACACTCACAACAGCTCTCTCAACCCTCAACCTCTCTGTGTGAAGTGTGAATGACCACAGTGCGACTCCACCGACTCTGCAGCTCTCACTCTCTTCTCTCGTCACCTTCCACCATCGACCACCGGTGACTCCATCGACTCTTCAGCTCTCATTTCTGTAAGGACTTGTTTTCTTTTCTTGGTTATTTTGAATTTTTGTTGGTTTCATATCTTTTTTTATTGTTCCTAATTGACTTGTTTGGAAGCATTTAATTTTCGAAATAGGGCATTTACTATAAATGGTAGCATCCAACTTTATTTATTTGGGGATGCTAGACTTCTACCGTGTTGATTTTGTAGTGAGCTTATTATATTCCCTCCAACAATGACAATCCACTTTAGAGGTGTATAGCATATATCTTGGTGAACTATTCTTGCTTGCTTCTGGTTGCAATTTACCGGGCATCTCCATGTAGGCTTTGACAGAGCTGGCAACTTGTTATGTGGTTAAATTTTCCCAGACATTGTTTGCTGGTTACTAGATGGTTGATGACTTGTATATTTTGTTTATGAGTTCGTTCTTGAGGATCATTGGCCGGAAAGAAATGATATAAGTTGCGTGAAGCGTGAAATGTAGACATTATAAACTAGTCTTTGAATGCAAAATATGTGCGAGTTTAACTGTAATTGACTTGTATGAAAGCATTTATACTACTTGTTATGAAAATTTAGAAAGAAGTAGTTTGAAGCAAAAACTTCTAGAAGTACATGTATTTATACTACTTGTTATTAACTGGTCATTAGGTTGATAATGATTGGACACTTCAAAAAAGAATTATAAGTTTCATTCAAGTCCCAAGCCACAAGAGAGATATTGTGGGAAATGGGTTGAT